GCAGGATTCTCTGGTTCTCCAGCTCTGATTTGACCATGGCGGGGGCGGGGCAAGAACAGTTCCTGGGCTAGGAGAGGGAGGAATAGCTTTTGAAGGGAGGGAGGAGCAAGCAGCCACTGAAATACACGTCTCTATAATAGTAGTGGCACACAGGCTTAGTGGCCGCGCGGCATGTGGGATCTTCCCAGATCAGGGATTGAATCTGTGTCTCTTGCATTGGCAGGCGGCTTCGTTACACTGAGCCACCAGGGAACTATTGAGCCTGTGCTCTGAAGCCTGGGAGTCCCAACTACTGAAGCCTGCGCATCCTTGCTCTGGAACAAGAGGAGTCCTCACACCACAACTAGAGGGTAGCTCCTGCTTGCCTTAATCAGAGAAAACCCGCGCAGCAACACAGACCCACGCAGCCAAAAATAAAGAAGTAAGATGGTAACAAAACAACAACAAAAAAGAAAGACACACCTCCTCTTGGGTAAAGAGGCTTTGGGGCTCAGGGCATCCAAAGGTTATCCTGCGAGGCTTCTTCTCGCCTCTAGGACTCCCTTTATTTCAAGGAGAATGAGCCTCCACCTCCTTGAAAGGTGATACAGGAGATCAGGTGTTGGGTAAGTGAAGGCTGATGGAGACCGCTGTCTCTCCCTTGCTGTCACAAGGAGGCCAGGGGACCTTGCTGGAGGCAGCTGGGTGAGTTTGCCATAGTCGGGAGCAAAGGGGACAGCACGCAAGGCCACCAGAGATGATGTAGCCAATCCCAGGGCTTGGGCCAAGGCTGGCCCAGTTTCCATCCCACGCCAACTTCCTCCTCCTCCTCGGGCGGATCAATGCAGGCACCAGTCTCCAACCAGTCCGCTTCCTCGCCACAGCCCTGCTCTCTGACCTTTGGGGGGCCTTTCCCTTGATTCTGCTCCAGAATGGAGGTTGGGGCCATCACTCGGGGCCTGCTCAATGGCCTCAGAATGGGCTGTCACAGGGCCTATAACCGGGGACAGCTCCTGCTGGCGAGAGCTGGGATGGGGGGCTGCAGATAAAGGCCTTCCCGGCTGAAGATAAATGGCTGCTGGCAGCCGGCTACAGTAACTCCAGGCCCTCAAGCAGAGCAAACAAAGGGTGCCCCTGTGACACCCCCTGGAAAGATGAAGGCCCATCAGCGGCAGCCAGGCTTGTTCAAAGCCCCAACTTAATTGTCAATTAAGCATGCATGAGGGAGACAAAGCCGTGACAACCCCGGGCTGCATGCTGGCGTGTGATTGTAAAGCCAGGAGGGGCAATGCCGAAAACAGCTGATTCTGCTGACCATGTGTTTGTAGGGCACCTTGTCACCAATCAGCCGCTGACAGAGGCAAAGGGCTCCTTCTGCCACTCCTATTGTGCCGGACATTCCAGGGCCAGGGTCACACTGTGGTCACTATGGGCAAGTGGGGCCACAGCACTGTCAGCGTGGCTGGGGGGGGGGGGCTCAGGTACAGAAGAGGTGCTCTCCTCCCCAGGGAGAAGGGTCAAGGGAAAATGCGTCTCGAGGCGCCTCCTGTCCTCCTGGCTCGGGGATTGGAGTTTGGAGGGGAAAGAGGGAAGAGGGTAGGGGCTTGGGGATGGGGACTTTGTCTCCCCAGCTCAGCCCGAGAAGTTGTGAGTCTTGAGTCTGGATGGTCATTTCTCCTCGGCCACCGTAGAGCTCTTTTCTGCATCCAGGTATGTTTGGGGCTTGGTTAGAGACCACAGCTTCATTGCAGGGACTATGATGGTAAGTAAGTATATCATGAGGAGTGCAGACCAGACCTTCCCCGAGCGCTGGGCTTCAGCCTGTCGTCTGGGTGGCCCTGGGCACACTTCCCTGGAGACCATCACCGCTCATGTGCTGCCCGCCCTGGGAGCTGAGGACGGGGACACCTCCTGGGGTGTAGCATCCTGCACCCCAGCCCCAGGGCCAGAACATTTCACTGTCTTTTAGCAATAAGGCCCCAATGTGTGAAATTGAAAAGGAAATAGATTCCTGTTGCCTGTCACCAAAGAGGCTTGCTCCTTGGCAGAAAAACTATGACTAACCTAGACAGCATATTAAAAAGCAGAGACACTACTTTGCCGACAAAAGTCCATCTAGTCAAAGCTATGGTTTTTCCAGTAGTCATGTATGGATGTGAGAGTTGGACTATAAAGAAAGTTGAGTGCTGAAGAATTGATGCTTTTGAACTGTGGAGTTGGAGAAGACTCTTGAGAGTCCCTTGGATTGCAAGGAGGTCCAACCAGTCCATCCTAAAGGAAATCAGTCCTGAATATTCATTGGAAGGACTGATGTAGAAGCTGAAACTCCAGTACCGTGGCCACCTGATGTGAAGAACTGACTCATCTGAAAAGACCCTGATGCTAGGAAAGATTGAAGGCAGGAGGAGAAGGGGATGACAGAGGATGAGATGGTTGGATGGCATCACCGGCTCAATGGACATGAGTCTGAGCAAGCTCCAGGAGTTGGTGATGGACAGGGAAGCCTGGGGTGTTGCAGTCCATGGGGTCACAAAGAGTTGGACACGACTGAGCAACTGAACTGAAGTGAACTCACTGTTGCCGTGACCATTTGTTTAGCTTTCTGTGGTAATAATAATGGTGACAGTAATCATGGTTTGGGCTTTCCTGGTGGTTCAGTGATAAAGAACCCTCCTGCCAATACAGGAGACGTGTGTTCGATCCCTGGGTTGGGAAGATGCCTTTGGAGAAGGAAATGGCAACCCACTCCAGTATTTTTGCCTGGGAAATCCCATGAACAAAGGAGCCTGGCAGGCCACAGTCCATGGGGTTGCAAAAGAGTCAGACACAACAGTGACTAAACAACAACAAACAACGGTTATATGGTTTACTGGGAAAGACGATGTTTACACAGTCTCTCACTGAATTCTCACGTGGACCCCAGGTGGGAGGTACCCTATCTCCATTTTACAGACAGGAGACTCAGACTCAGAGAAATTCTATGAATTGGCCGCGCTGCAGGTTATGGGGGTTAGAATGAGGATTCAAAACTAAGTCCACAGAATCAGTCCCTAGTGGGTGTGGACCATCTTGATGAACTGAGTTAAAATTCAGGGAAAGAGAAAGGTAGGCACTAAAAATATACAGTGGCCCATAATGATCGTTCCATAAATAGCAGCTCCTCCCTACAAAGGGGCACGAAACTCTCAAAGATAAACTTGATCCCTGGCAGTTCTGGGGGCTCCACGCCAGCCTCCCAACTAGACCAGAAGCCGCCAGGGGCAGAGATGCGTGTCTTACTCATCACTAGCTTGGTGCCCACACTCAACCTGTGTCTGTGCTGTAGGAAGGTACAGGGTGAGATTCTATAGCCCTGAGTTCTAGTCCTTTTCTGCTACCATTGCCTTAGGGAACTCTGCAAAGTTACTCCTTCTTTCTGGGCCTCAATTTCCTTCTTCCAAGTACCTCCCAGTTTTAACATTCCCTGATAGGTAACACGGTCTCAACTTCCGGGGACCCAGGAGAATCCACTTCCAGTGGGACGTGCCTTCTGAGACCAATCGATCGGTGGTGTCTTGGGCTGTGTTTTCCGGACCCCCGCCCAGGCCCTAGTACCTGCTCTGGCCCCTCCAGCCCCGCCTCTCTGGGTCTCCTGTCACTATACAGAATGCCTAAGCCGACGACCCCGTGGTGACCTCACCACAACCCCAGCTTGTCAGAAAGCCACTGGGCCTTTGTTTGGCTTGCAGGCTCCCTGACTTTGGTGTGGAGATCACAGGTCCCAGCACAATGGCCATTGTCTTCTCAATAACGCCCCTTGCCCCAGCCACGCCCCCCGCAGCTCTCAGCTCCAGCTCCCTGGATTACCACGGCAGAGGGGCTGCCTTACTTAGCCATTGGGCCAGTGTTCATCTGCAGGCTTCGCTGCCTCTCAGGAGTGACCCCAACTTTCTTCCTATGTGGCTGAGCCCTTCCCTTCGGTTGGCAACAGCACCCAGAAAAGCACCCCTCCCTGGCCCAGGCTTCACGCTGGACAGAGACCCCCGAGGAGGTCATGCCAGCGGTGTGGGGGGTGGGGGCACAGTGAGGAGTGGATGCTTGCAGCTCGTCCAGGTGGGGGCTCTGAGCCAGCGCCCCCGGCACTCAGATCAGCTCCCGGGTCTCAGGCCTCTCCCAGCAGAAGGGCAACCAGCCGGTGAGGGGACGGAGTGGTTTTAGAGCCATCCCCAGCGTTGGAAGTGGCGCTTGGCTCCTTCTGAAAACCCCTCCCCGAGCAGGTAGTAGACCGTACCACACTCTATCTACACGGGCACCACACCAACCTCAGCAAACACATCATGCTGGGAAGCCAGCTTTCCCGGAAGGACCTACACAGCCCTCAGCACATGGGGGTGCTCTCCCACCAGGAAGGAAGGTGTGGGATTCCTCCTGACAAGCCCATGCCCCAGAACAGGGGCATCCTCATCCAGGCCGGGCGGGGCCTGGCACACACAGCGCACAGTAGGTACTCAGCCAATTTTGACCAACCCATCACTGCCAAGGTGTCATGTGACCAACCCTGCCCTAACTCTGGCAGCGCACAAATGTTCCCAAGCAGAGGGGTCCTTGCCCAGAGGCCCCTGGACCCCTCCTGCTGCAGCTGGACAGAGCCCTGGGGATGCACACGAACGGGGTGGAGGAGGCGACCCCTCTGCCGGCGGTGTGGACCTGGCACACAGACAAGACAGGCTGCTCCGTCTCATCTGGTGGCGGCCGTGACCCGCTGAGTCAGCAGCCACACACACACACGCGCACACACACACACACACAGAGGAGAAAGGAGCCTGGAAAAGAGCGGGGAGCAGGGCTCCCTGGAGGCTGAGCAAGGATGCAGAGGAAATCCGACCACGGCTGCACGCTACTCTCATGAGAACATTTCAGCAGCAGAAGGAAGTCAGCCCTAGGACCATCCCAAAGCATTTCCTCTTCTGAGACATCATGAGACCCCTAGGGGAGAAGCCGGAAGGTCGGGTTGCCAAGTGGTGAGGCTGGGCCCTGCTTACCTGGCAGCTTGTTTGGAGGGGAGGTGCTGGGCTGGTGGTGGGGGGAGCCGTGGGAGAGCAGGGTGTTCAGGCCATGCGTCTGGCTGGAGCTGTAGGCGTCCATGGCCAGCTTCTGCCGGAATGCCTCCTCCTTCCTGCGGTTTGCAAACCAGTTGTAGACTCGGACCTCAGTGACCAGGTTGGAGCCCAGGCCGTGGGCTTTGGAGGGGGAGACGCCTCGCTGCAAACATTCCGCCCTGAGAACAGGAGAGAGGGGAGATGGTGAGTGAGGGTGGTTCGGGGGGAGGCCCGCTGGCATTTGGCCCCAGGTACACGGTAGTGGGGGCTTCCCTGGTGGCTCAGTGGTTAAAGAATCCACCTGTCAGACAGGGAACTTGGGTTCGATCTCTGGGTCAGGAAGATCCCTGGGAGAAGGGAATGACAAGTCACTCCAGTATTCCTGCCTGGGAAATCCCATGGATAGAGGAGCCTGGAGAGGTACATACAGTCCATGGGGTAATAAAGAGCTGGACATGAGTGAGTGATTGAGCACACACTCATACTATCATGGAGCGGGGAGGGTGCTGGTAAGGAGTGTGAAGAGTGGCAAGGAGTGTGAAGCGGCCAAGGATAGAGTATGGGAAGCCTAAGGAATGGCCAGCCTGTGTGGTTATCTGATGAGATGGCTGGATGGCTGGAGCAGTGTGGAACACAGGTTCTGAGTAGGTTCACTGCCCCAGAAGCCTGGGCTTAGCCTTTGGTGTGGCTCCTGAACAAGAGAGGAAGGTGAGGGGCAGGCATCTCAGGCGGAAGCCTCTTGACACCGTGTGTGACTATTTTTCCTGTCCTACAAAAGACAATTTCCTTTGCTGGCCTAGTTTGAGCCCCTCCATAGCACTCTGAAATGACTTCTGGTCTTCCAGGGTTTAGACACCCTGCAAAGGTGCCATGGAAGCCAGATTTCTTATTCACACAACAGGAATCACTTCCAAAGGGCAAACTGGGTAAGGAATAAATGAGGACACAGCAGCAGAGATAGCTGGTCTCCAGTCATCATCGCTGAGGAAACCCCAGTGCCAGGTGAGAGAGAGATTCTTAGACACCACTGGATACTGGGGGGCTACCCTCTCATCAGTGGGAGCCAGAGCATAGCTGAGGACTCTGTGACATGTCTGGGCAGAGGGTTTCACCTCCCCAGGCCCCTGCCAGACCTCCCTAGCTGCATCATCTCCCTGCCAGAGCCGGTCTAGCCCAGAGACAGAGGGAACCCAAGATCTTAGCCAAAGCAAAGAGCAGATTTTTTTTTAAAGTGAAGGTTGGAATCAGAGCAGATGGGGCAGGAATGAAGCTAAAGGATATCTGGAGGATTTTCGAATAGTTTTCTTTAAAACATGACAGCCTGGGTGGGAGGGGAGTGTGGGGGAGAATGTATACACGTATATATGTATGGCTGAGTCCCTTCACTGTCGACTATACCCCAATACAAAATAAAAGCTTAAAAAAAATTCCATGTCGTTAAAAACAAATGAACTCCACAAAAACAACTCTAATCAGCGTGGGCAGAGTGGAGGGAATTCTGATCAATTCTTGCTCTCCTGCTTAGTTTCCCTTTGAACCAACATTTGGTCTAGGCCAAAGCCAGTCTGTGGCTAAGGAATAGCTTTCCCTTGGTGTGTCAGGGGATCAAACGCATGATTCTCCCTTCACTGGCATATTTTAGACCATCATTCTCCATCATTCCCTGGGATAATAGTTCATAGGGCTATGCCACAGAAAGACATCCCCTGGTTAACAACCAGTTCAGCAAAATGAAGTGCGTTCCTTGACTGCAGGACTTCTCAGAGCCTTTACTATAAGAATGTACCATTGTGACTCCCTAAGAGAAAGTATGCAGGTGATGTTTTTCTCAGGCTGATTTAGTAATGACTTGAAATGAGGGTTCCACGGAATACACTTTGGGAAAGCCTGATTTAGCCACAGTTATCTGGATAAGTGGGCTTCCCTGGTGGCTCAGCTGGTAAAGAATCCGCCTGCAATGTGGGAGACCTGGGTTCAGTCCCTGGGTTGGGGAGATCCCCTGGAGAAGGGCATGGCAACTGACTCCAGTATTCTTGCCTGGAGAATCCCCAAGGACGGAGGAGCCTGGCAGGCTACCGTCCATGGGGTGGCAAAGAGTCAGACACGGCTAAGTGGCTAAGCACTAGTGTCTCAACACTCCAGGACTGGGGGGGTGGAGCTCAGGTCCATGTGCCTGCCCGCCTGCTCTGGGGGAGCTTCCGGTGGTGTTACCTGTTGCACTCCTCCACTAAGGCCTCCCTCTCTTCCTTGCTGGGGTTCTTTTGCCGGTCGTAGGCCTGGTACAAGATTTGCTGGGATGCGGGCCCCCATTTGAACCGGTTGCGACGCATCTTCTTGTTGGTGGGCTCAGAGCAGGCGTCATCGGACTGCCCAGGCCCCTGGCTCTGTTGACTGAACTCTGGAAAGAGAAACAGCAGCTGATCCTGACTGCTTTTGTCTGTCAAATTTCCAGAACTCTGGACTGTCTGGTTGAATTCTGAAAAGAGAAAGGAGTAGATTTGATAGAGTCTGTAGCCTTCACTCAGCAGATAGACAGACAGACAGATCAATGGACAAAAATACCTTTATGTCTCTCCCCTGAGCTTTGGGGTCTGCTGTTAACTAAAGGTGGGAATGCAGGGGTGGGGGCAGGCTCACGAGGCCCCTCACTGCCCATTTCTGTTGGCTCCACCAAAGCCAACCCCTTTCCTTTCTTTAGAGGAGCTCAAACGTGGCTGACCATTGTTCTCAGGACAATTTATTATTATTATTATTTCATTGGCTCACTGGCTCTCAGACATGAAGCAACACTCTGAATCCTGAAGTCTTGTGTTTTGATGTCAAGGAGATGAGTTCCACCAAGTCTCAGGTCTAGAGGGAAAAATGCTAAAAAGTACAGTTTGCACTTAGACAAACTGTTCAGAGGCTGAAAATAGCTCTCTCCACCCATAGATCCTAGGGATCAACATTATGTTATGCCCTTTGTAAAACCCCAAACCCCACACCCTTTGACTACTGCTTTGAAATAAATATAACTGGATCTTTGTATTGGAAAAAGAAGAAGCAGCTCTTTAGAGCTCAATCATCTCAAAGGCAATGGTGTGTGTGCGTGTGTGTGTGTGTTCAGGGGTCTGTTTATGAGGGAAACAGCCCAAGAGGGGAAGGTCTTACACACCTGCCCACACATTTGAAAGATGGGAAGTGCAAGAGATAGCAAACACAGGACTTTCCTAAGAATGGTGTTTTAAGAGTTGGAAACAAGTAAATACAGATGGTACGGAGCCCCCGACAGTCCAATTCCCAGGACCTGGGCATATCATGACCCTCAATATATTTTGATTGAATGAATGAAAGACAAAAATCACCCAGTGGTGATCCCCTAGCCTCTGCGGCTGCCATGAGATTCGATATTTACTTGAGGAAGAGGCAGCCTCCTTGTTCTCTTCCTTACATCTGCATGAAGCAGAGTTCATCATAGTATTAACTCCATTTTACAGATGAACAAGCAGAGAGGGCAAGCACCCTGCTGAGCGAGGACCCATAACAGATTCATTTCCTAACTCCTGGTGCCTGTGTTCTGGATCTTGATGTTTTTCTTTCTTGGTTCCTGGAGTCATCCCTGCACGTCTCAGAAAACTCTCAAGGTCCAAAGTCAGGCCACAGCTTGAATGCTCTGCATAACACCCTACCATGAGGCCTTCCATCTACCTACCTTCAGCAATGGGGAATGTGCAACAAGCTAAAGATCCATTTCCATTTTGGCCCATCAAGAAGTGGTGGGTCCCTAACAAGCCTAGACCCCGGATGCAGGTAGTGCTGGCCTTTGTTTAACTAGTCATTGATCAGATGAGTTAGCGAGCTGTGTCCTTGGTAGACAGACAGAACATGTCACTGGAAGCTTTGGTTGGAGCCCCATCCACTTTGGAAGATTCTCAGGCCACTTTGGGCTCTGATTTCACTGGTTCCCAATAATTCCTTTAGATACCTGAGAGTGTCTTTGCCACATCTACTAGCAGGAAGTCACTGACTCCATGGGATAATGTAGGGTCCCAGCCAATTCCTGGTCCCTTGGCTTCTCTGCCTGTGGAATGGGCCTGCTGAAGACTTGAAGGCCCTAAATAGTCTTTTAGAACATGCGCCCCTGTCATCACCCTGATGGTGATGACAACAATGATCACCCAAATTCCAAAGGAAGTTCTACTGTACAAAGTGCTTTTACAATTCTCGTATTATTTGGTCTTCATGGCAGCCATCTAAGTGCAGGGAGTTTGGGACAATCAGAGGGGGAGAAAGACGTCCCCTGCTCAGGGGGTGTCTGTCTCAGCATCTCCTCTGCTCCCTGTGATCCTGTGGAGTTGTCGTGAATAACAGCCAAAGCCACTACGGATAATCGCGAGGACCCAGGATCAATACAAGGTTCCTCATTTGATGTGAAGAGATAACCAACCTGTCATCACAGTGAACATGTAAAGAACAATTTCTACAGTGAGGTTATTATACAAAGTCCTCCAAATGTATCCCTTCAACTAACTCTCACACCTCTCTTAGGAAGAATTGTTATCTCCGTTTTACAGATGAAGAAATTGAGGTTCAGACCAATTAGAGCCAGGGGGTAGGAGCCAGGATGTGAACCTAGACTGTAGACGCTGAACTTACAACCCTTGATGCTGATGCCCCATGTGCATCACCTCTCACTAAAAACAAACCCAAAGCACACACCCACAAAACCTTCCAACGGGCCTTGGATGGAGGTAACAGAACTGACTCCTAAAGGTCTGTCTGTGGTGGGTGCTAGACACACTTGCAGCTGCCCACAGAGTAAAGGCCGCCTCTGGCTGTTGGCTGCCCTTTTGGAAGAACCAGACTCTCACACATTCTCCACCCACCACCAAATCTCCCCTACTTCTTTCCAGATTAATGTAAGGTGGTGGGGGGGGGGGGGTTGGTGCACAGAAAATGTTTGTTGCCCATAAAAATTAATTTGGAGAAGATGGCATCAGTAACCTCTTTATAGGCTCAAGAGCCAGCCTGGACAAGGAGATTCTATCTGTGAAGATAGGCTCATGAATATTACCATTTATTACTTTTAGCTTATGAAAATTTGTTATCATGTGTCTTTTTAATTCTCCCGATTCTCTCTTACTACTTGCCACTTGTAACTTGTCCACTTGTGTCCTTCTTTTATTCATCTCTCTTCCTATTTTTTATGCAGTGCTAGTATATCTTGTATTCAACCTTCAAGAATTGGTTCAAATGACACCTCCTCCAGGAAGCCCTCCATGATGTCTCTAGGCAATTTAGCAATTCCTCTGGCTGTCCCTTGTGTATACTTTTATAACAGCTCTTAGAAAGCTGTCGTTATTTATTCAAACATCTCATCTTCCTCATTAGGTTGTAAGTCCCTGGAGAAAAGAACCTGTGTATCTCACAGCCCAGCAAGTGCTTGGCACCTCATAGGTGCCCATATAATATTTACAGAATGAAGGGATGCTTCTTAAGCTTTCTGTCTCATGGGACTTTAAAACAATAATAATAATTGAAAAATCCTTTGCAGAGATGGTCATATATTTTTGCAAAATGCCATTCTCAAGCATCTTGAGAACCTTTCTGGGACTTCTATCTTTTAGAAGCTTTGGGTTGACCTCTCCTGGGTTGATCCTTCTGAGGGAAGTCCCACAGAATACAGAGAGGTGACTCAAATGGGAGATGATGCCTGAGGCTTGGTTTGGAGTGAAAGCACATCCCAAGGGTTCTCTGGCCTTTGGAGACTACGGCTCCTGAAACTTTTTCTTGGGCTTTACAGGAATTACAGGGAGTTGCTTCATGTCAGACACACAATTTCTTAAAGACAGTCATCATGGATGGTGGATCATCCCAGAGTTTAAAAGGGGCCTCTTCCTCTCAGTAGCAAAGAGCTCTCACTGGGCTTCTTATAACCTATAACTTTCTTACAACCTTATAACCACCAGGGAAGCTCAAACTTATCTAATGCTACCAGCAAAAGAGCAAATCACTGCAATATAAGGTGAACCCCTAACATCCTTGCATCTTGAAGGCCGTTCCAGCCCATGGACATTGAGACAATAAGTACTGAAACCATCACTTCAGGGCAGTGTGACAGAAAACAAGAGTGATTTTTAAAAGTAGTCCTCTAGTAAGACAGGAAAAACTCAGCCCAGAAAGAGGTGGAAACTCATATCTTAACAAAGACAGAGAAGCCCACAGCCCAGAGGGGAGTATGTGGGAAGAGCGAAAAATTACATAAAATTTTCCTAGAAAGAGGGCTGGATTGAAATAATCAAAATATAATGTAAAAGTACACTTTCCCTAAAATAAAAACACTAGGTCACTGATACTCTTATCATTCAAATGCAGTTCAAACTTCCCTAGCCTTCCAAACAAAAATCTCTCAGGGTTATTGACTTGAAGAAATCTTGGGACAGAAAGGAAATTTGGGAAAGACAATGGGAAGGATAAGAATTCATCACTCAGAGTTGCAAATGCAGATGCTTTTACTGAGTCCTGCCTTAGCCAGAAGCAGATTCTTCCTCTGACAGGCTCACCAGCTGGGGTCTCAAAGCTCTCCCGATTTTGGTAAATGTGAATAAGCATCTCAAGTTGCTTCAGAACTCAGCTGTACCCCCCACCCCATCCTCGCAAACAATAGGGTCAAGTTCCTAACATATCTATATGTATGAGTGCCTTCTATTTTTTATACTCTTCGAGAGAGAAGGAAAATAACAATAATAGTGATCAATATTATTGATTGCTACTAAATGTCTTCCTTGGAAAGTCTGATCCATGGTCATGGATCAAGGGGAGAAGATGCTTGGCTTACTTCGGGTTCAATATTCTGCTGTTACCTACTTGGTTTCAAAGAGAAAGATGTTGGAAGCAGGGACCAAAATATTCAAGGTGTGCCACACACCAATGAGCTTGGCAAATCAACTGGCTGGGGACTACGGCATCTCGGGAGAAGAAAATGACATAAGCCAGCTCATTGCAGGGCAGCCAAACCCACCTGACAGCTTCCTTATATTTGCCAAGTGCCACGAAGCCCTTGTTGATGAGAAGGAAACTGAGGCACCCCACAGGGGTCAGAGTGAGGGCAAAGGTCAGTCTTGGTGGAGGCAGAGGCAGGCTGAAAGCACTTACGTCTGAGGATCTCCCGTTGCTTTCGGACGTACCAGGTGTACAAGGCAGCGCGCTTCTGGGTCTTCATGGGGGTGCCTTTGTTGAGATGCTGGGAGAGGTGTGATTGGTTCAGGCCGGTGACATCCACCACTTCCCTTTGGGGGATGTTGTGCTGTTGCATGTAGCCTTTGATCATTTTGGCAGCCCTCCACGGGTCCTCGCTAGACAGACAAGCAGAGGGTTAGGATGCTGGTGGAAGAGGTCGGGGACAAATATCCTCTTTCTAGAGGTTTTACTTAAACTCTGTGCAAAACACTGACCTTCCCCTATTTCTCCTCCTGCCCAAGTTACATCCTGGGGAGAGAGGCGAGGCCGAAATAGAACCTGGACAAAAGAGGAGATGAAGGCTCCTATATAGTGTACTCCATCCCTTTCAACTGAGATTGGGAGGATAAAGAGGAAGATGACTTCCTTGCTTCAGTAATAGGAAAGCAAGCCCAGCACTCTCTCTCTGGAAGCAGAAAGAAAAGTTCCTGGGTGTTTCTTTTTGTTTTTGTTTTACATCTTTGTTTGTTTGCTTGTTTTGCTTTCCTTCACTTCCCTGGAACTTGAGAGATTTTAAAGGAAGAGGCACACCAGAGAGCAGAGGTGTCATTCGCTCGGGACCAGGCTGGTTGATCTCCACGATAGGAGGTAGCATCTCTAAATTCACCTGGACCTCTCCCACATCACCTCCCTTTGGGATGGGCGTCTCCTCTTCTTGCGAGTCAAATGGCAGCAAAACATAAGTGACCACCTCCGGAGAAGCAAGGAGGATGTCTTAGCCAAATGTTAAAGTTTTCAGAGTTTCAGAAAACTTTTAAGAAATGATGTCCCTCCCCTGTGGGGTTGAGGAATCACTGCGCTGATGTGAGGCAAATAAAGTTAAAACAAAAAATTCTTCACAGCCCCGCCTCCCAAATAAGACCACACAGACAGATGGATAATCTCAATTTCTGAAAAAGATGTGAATGATTCCAAATGCCACTTTCTTTCTATATTCTTACATTTCTCCTCGGATAGGGTAAGAGTATCTGGAAGTTAATCTTTCTCATAAATTTCAAGCTTGGGGTAAAAACTTAAACTTTTCATTTAAGTGTTTTCATTTAAACTTTTCATTTAAGTTCATATCATTCATAAACACAGGTAATGCAAAAAAAAAAAAAACCTCTTTAAGAACAATGTATTAGTGCCTCTGAATTTATTCCAAATATTTTCAACTTTGCCAATATCTTTTCTTGCTTATTGAATAGTTGGCTTAAAAGTGAGTGATCTAATTGAAAACAAAAATTAAGGGAAGAGTGCACAGTATAGAACAAAAAAATTCATGAACAATATATCCATATATATTATTTTTTTAAGGCAGCTACATCATTAACTTAAAAAACCCCAGCATCCCGTTATGGTATGTTGATGTATATAGTAGCCTGATAAAATATGAAAAAAAAATGAAGGGAATAATTAGTTTCAGAGGTAACAATAAGTAAAATTTTAGAGGACAGAACAGAGGGCAAAAGAACAGCTACAGTTGAAGATGAAGTAAGTGATTTATTTCTAGATGATGTCTATGTCAACTAAAATCACGTTTGTATAATGAATTTTTTTAACCTAGTAATTAAACAGATTTTTGTAAGCATTTGAAAAATTGGGATTATTTTAACAAGTCTTTGATATTAAATTTATGAGAACACAAGTTTTGATAGAGATGTTTTTGATAAATGCAAACTCAAAATTACATATAGCTTAATACATTTCTCAAGTATTTACAAAGGTACTGCCAAGTAATACAACAATATTTAAGTAAAAACAGGAACAAAAAATGAGAAACTGTGTCCATTTCAAACATGGCTAATTCACCTTGAGTAAGAGGAAAGTAATGTAACATTTTGAACATGCCCGTGTAAACATCAGCACTCATTTTAAAAGTTTATTTCTGCTAAATACTTGCACAGATATTTTTAGGGTAAAAAACACCTTCAACAGATACCAACAACAGCTTCGAAAGTTAGAATAAGTATTTGGGTTTTTAAAGGTAATGCTGCTTGGACAGATTCTTTAACATTTTTGGTTTTGTTTAAATTTTTTACTAGTATTTATTTTGTGTGTGTTTAAGAAACCTAACTGAAATAGTGCAATGTTCTGAGAGTAAATAATTCCGCGGTAAAAGTGAATTAGCTTAACGACTGGAAAGGTTTGAAACGAAAAACAAAAGGCCAGGGAAACCACATAAACGATAGCAAATCTTTCAGCCCGCATTAAAGACCAGAGCTGGGGATAAGATGGCGTAGTTACACCTTTATAGCTCTGACCACATAATTCTCATGGATTCACCGGGAAGGGCCCCAAGAGTCGGTTACGTTTTGAAATTCAAAAATATAGCCAGTGATCCGGGGTTCGCAACCCCTATAAACACACGGATCGGGAGTAGGGCGCCGGGCATTGTCCTCAGGGCGCAGGTGTCAAGCGCCCGACCTCGGCGCCCGCCTAGTCGGCCCAGCACGCTCCTTTCCAAACAATGCCACGAACCGAGAGGCCCTGGACCCCGGTTTCGATCGCCGCGATTCTTCGTTAAAAAGCCTGCACCCGGGCTTCTCGGGGAGCAACACACATTGCAACTTTTCACCGCGCGCGCCAGCCTAGAGCCGGGGCCAGAACCGGCAGCGCGCAGCCCCAGACTGCTTTTCTCGCCTCGCTCTTCTTGGAGATGGAAAGAGCGGCCAGCCGCTCCCCAAAGTGACTTGTCCTGTTCTTTTCTTTCCGCCTTAGCGGAGCACGGTGGACCAGAAGGGGAGTGCGCGCGTCTGGCGTGTAGCAGCCAACTGCGCAGTGACCTGGGGACCGCTAGCGATTTCTTGAAAAATTACTTTAATCAAGTCTGACCACTCCTGAAGGTGGGGGAGGGAAGTTAGCAGCCGCTGGGGGAAAGGAGGAGAAACTTTAGGGCCTGTCCTGTGTATCCCCTACTCACGCCCCTGGTGGGGGTCTTCGGCCCCCTAGCCTGGCTCTCCGCCCCCTGGAGCCCGGAGCTCTGCGCAGCGAAGAGCGCGGAGGTCCGGGGCCCAGGGCCGGGCCTGGCTCTCTGCCCGCCCGGCCTGCGGTGTCGGCGACCTCCGGGGCAGCCCGGGTCCGGCGCGGGGGCTTGGGGCGCCGCGGGGGCTCTCTTGGGAAGGCTGGGCAGGCCCGTGCATGTGTGCTGGGAGCCGCGAACAGCCCCGCGCGTCCGCTTTCTGCTTTCCTTCCCCCTCGAAGCCGCGTTTACAACTTCACCAATGAATAACCCGCCTCTCCGTTCAACCTAATCACGACTTTTTGTGTATCTTTCTGTTGATGATTTATAGAAATAAATTAATAACACCCTAACTCCACGTGCTTCAGTTTATATTACATCTCTGCCACGTCTAACCCGGCGCAGGGCTGGGTACCGAGGGACGCCCCAGATTCTTCTTCCAAAACCCCGCTGAAAGGCGGGTGCCTGCGGCCAGGCGGATGGGCCTAGGCCCCGCGGGCCCCGGTACCGGGCGGCCGGACATCGGCGATTCCTCCCGGCCCCGGGTCAATCTCCGGGCCGCCCCGGCGTCCCAGCCGCTCTCTCTGACCCCTCTCACCTTCCTGCACTCCTAGCCCAGGCCGGGGAGAAACCACCGCCAAGGGGGCAACCGCCAGGCAAGAAAGAACCTCAAACCCTACGAACTAACTGTAGCAACAGACTTTCGGGAAGTTAGAAAAAAAAAAAAAATCTAGAAATTCCCCTGATTGTTTTGCTAGAGAGTAAGCCGCCGGGTTCCCGGGTAGCAAATTCAAATGCAAGGTCATATCGCATCTCAAACGGCCACTACGGGCGGGTGACCCGGGTTGCCCCGGTCCCGCGCGCGACTCCGGTCCAGGCCTTGCCTGGGGACTGCGGCGCTGGAAGGTCCGAGGCCAAGCAAGGGTCTCGGTCCCGGAGCAGCCTGGCTGGGAGCGACGCGCGGTCTAAGGGAACCGCTCGGCTTCTTGGATAATTAGTAACAAGCTGTCAAAGCCCTAGGCCGCTCGGAAAGGCTTAGCAAACCACCCGGGGCCCGGAGACAGACCGCCGGGCGGTCTGCTTGCCTGGATTCCCCGTGGACGCCGGGGTGTCAGCGGCGAGATCCGGAAACGCCCTCCTTTCTCCCACCAAATCCGCCGCGAGCTGGAGGCTTGGACCCCCTGATCCCTCGCTTGCTAAAGACGCAGTTTCCATTGCCCCTTGCGAGTCCACTCCAACCCGACAACGTGCAAGCATTTCCTTTCGCAGATCTCAAGGGGCTTTAGTGATCCCGGATAACCTCCGGGCCTTGCGCGGGCGCTGCAGACGAGAGGGCCCATCGGAGAAGGCGCCCCCAACTTCCCGGCCCCGGAGCCGCTGGTCCCTCTGCCGAGAGCCGCAGGACGCCGCGCCCCAGGCCGGCTCCGCAGAGGCGGCACCCCGGGAGGAGTGCTTGTGGCCTGGGGTTGCTGCGGGTCCGGAGCCTCGGCACCGGGGAATCGCCGAGGTTTCACTGCGCCCACTCGCACCTTCGGCCGCGTGGGCAAGGGCTCTGCAAGCTCGGTTCTCCCAGGCTGAACCCTAACCTAGCCGGGAGGGCCCCACCGGTCCCGGGCGCTGGGCTGGGCAGGAATTCATGAAGTTTCGGGGCTCGGGCTGTCCGATTGAGGGGCTGGGAGGGGTCCAGGTGTTGGGAGAGAAGCGGAGCGCCCCCCGGGGGACTTCTCTGGTGGAAACCAGGCTTGGCAACAGCAGTCGGGGCCGTGTGGCTCAGCCACGGGGCCCGGGGCTCCGGGTGTTCGGGCGCACCCCTCCGCACCTCGGCCAGCGCCTACCTGAGCATCCGGTCCACCTCCGCCCGCTGCTCCGCCGCCTCCTCGGTGTTGAGCGCCTGCAGCTCCTTGAGGATGGGAGGGGTATCATAGTCGTCCCCGTCTTCGGAGCCCTCGTCTCCGGACAGGCGGCCCTTGGCGTGGCCGTTCGTGAGAGTATGGAAGACCGGCTTGGTGTCCGGCTCGGCCCCGCTCCCAGGGGACAGGGGCAGCGTCTCCAGCTTCACCCCGAAACTCGGGGACGGCAGCAACTCCTCCAAGGCCTGGATCAACACCTCTTTGGTGACCCCGGAGCTCAGCAGGGCGCTCAGGAGTTCTTGCTGGAGCGACGTGAGCTTGGACACCATTTTCCAAGGACAGAGAAAGAAGGGGGTGAGGGGGCGGGCTGGTGGGTGCGAGAGAGGAGGGTGGAGGGGAGTTTCACAAGCGAACCCCAAGTCCAGGAACCCCCCCCACCCTTCAGCCTCCAGGCACCTGTTACTCCCCGGGGTCCCGGAGTCTCCTCCGAGAGGAGTCAGAAAACTTCTAACTTGCCATGATCGCCACCATTAGGCCATATAAGATATGCAAATTAGCGGGGAGGGCCCGGCTTTCGGCAAGATGCAAATGGTCTACGGAGATGGGGGGGTTGGGGAGGAGAACCGAGAGAGTGAGTGTGAGAGGTAGACCCGAGAGCCCGAGACCCGAGCCGAGAGCCGGGGATGCTAGGGTCCAGGGTATTCACGACGGGGGGCTGAAGAGATTCTTGTGCCGCTTCCGTGTATCAGTCAAACTTCAGCTGACCTTTGGACTCGTTAAACAAGTAGCTTGCAGCCTGGTGTGCGAGGCGCCGGGACTTTTCCACCCGCTGTGGGTTCGGCTTTAAGTCCGGAGAGAAGGAGAAACTGCGCTCGGGGGTCAGGTGAGGGCTGGAGGAAGCTGGGGTGCTCTTGGGAGAAGCAGACGGAGGACGGGGGGGCCCTCGCACGCGTCCCGACCAACCTGCAAGCGGTGGGCCCGGAGGGCCGGGCGGGCGGAGGAAGAAACTGACCGCAGAGGAGTGGACGCGGAGACCCGGGGAAAGAGGGGCGTGTTGGGCGGGAGTGAGTGTGGAATGCGGGGCGGGTGGCAGGCACTGAGTTCTACCTGGGCTACCGTTCTGCCGACTCCAGGCCTTCTGGTGCCGGGGTTGGTGGCTTGGATTTGCAGAACTGTCGGCCCCAGAGCGTAGGCCAGCGGGATGGAGGCCGGGAGAACCTTTGGAAAGAAGAGGCGCCGGCTAACCGGGTGCCACGGGGCCGCACCGGCACCCGGCCCGGCCAAGCCGCGGGGACCTGGGCGCCCGGGCCCCTGGCTTAAAACCCAGAATATCAAAGCGCGCTTTCGGGGCAAAACCAGGATTGCGGGGCTTCCTTTCTGGCAGTGAAAGCTGGCTGGACAGTTGAAGCCACACTTCTGTGGCACTGATTTCTGGCTTATTTGCAGCTCCAGGACATACCGGTTCCCGGGGCCCGAGGCTGATCTCTGCGGACCCGAGGTCAAGGCGGCGGTGGCTGGCGACTCCCACGCCAAGTTGGGAAGGGGCCGACCAAGCTAGCGAGGGACAGAAGTGATTGTTCACGCCGGCCTGGCCCAGGGAGGAAGCCCGAAACCTCTCAGCGCTCTCAGAGTTTCACCTGCATCTCCCCAAGGCGCTCAGGGGGAAGGACGGAAGCAGGAGGTGCGCCCCTACCTCCAGGCTGCCCAGGACTTGCAGAAGACCCAGGGCAGCAGGGGCTTTTTAGGACCCATGGCTCACAGTCCCATAGTTTCTTGGGGCAGAGGACACCTCCTTCCCCTCTCTAAGCCTCAGGTTCATCACCTAAAATACTGAAACCTAAAGCCCAGAGGATGCGGCATTGTGTACATCGAATGAGCCCACCTGTGAAACCGTGTATCCCAGGAACAGTGTTCACACTTCTCCGAGAAGGCAGGAAGACGGTTCCTAGTAGTAAAATCTAGCCCCTTGGGAGGTTCAGGATTCTCAGAACCAGGCAGATTCAGTGCTGGGCTTGGAGGGACTGGGAGCTTAGGGACAAACATTCAGAATGAGCAGGGGATTTGCAAAGGAGCTTCTAAGCAAAGTCTCCCCCCTTTCCCATCTTTTAAAGACAGTTAGGAGGAAGAGGGGAATTTCAGCAGCAGTAGGAGTGGGAATGGGGAGGGTCATCAGATCTGTCTGCTTGGTTCAGGTGCCAGGGCTGAAACCCAGATGTGGTTGATCCAAGTCAGGCTGCCGAGGAGCTTGTTCTTGTTTAGTCCCTAAGTTGTGTCCCACTCTTTTTTGGACTGAAGCCCTGCCAGGCTCCTCTGTCCATGGGATTTCCCAGGTAAGAATACTGGAGCAGGTAGCCATTTCCTTCTCCAGGGGATTTTTCCCGACTCAGGGATGGAACTCGTGTCTGCTGCATTGGCAGGCAGATTCTTTACCACTGAGCCACCGGAGAAGCCCAGCTAAGGAGCTAGGTTGACGTTTTTAAATACAGGGTTTGCTCTGCACTCCTGGACCACCCACGAGAAAGGGGTGGTTGTGTGCACGGAGCTCTGGGTGACCTTTATAGCATCTCAGTGTCTTTCCCCGAGAAAGGGGTAATAAGTTCATAGAAACGAGGGCTCTTCATTTCACCTTATTGTCTTGGAGTTTGTTGTGACATATGGCACCTCCTTGCCCCTCACAGTGCAGCCCAATGGGAGAATATTTTTTGCTTCCCTAGCTCCCCTCAGCAGGGATAATGAAGTGTTCAGAGTAAATGTCCCTGGAGAACAATCGCTTTTTCTCTGTCTCTCACTTGCTATCATGATAGAAGCAGTCAAGTGTAATGAAGATCAGTTTCTGTGTTTAGCTGGGAAAACCCATTAAAAAACCAGCCATCACTTCCCTTTTAACAACAAAGCTTTGATTTGTAGTTCCGACTGCTGTGTGCCCAGTCTGACTCTCAAGCTTCCTTATCTCTCAAAATTCAGGTGTCAGCAAACCCATTCTTCCCCTCAACCCCAGCCGATGGAAACACACAGAACGTTGCCCAGAGTACAGGGAAATTTCCTATGCGTGTCCAGGTAATCTGGCTATTCAAAGCCAGCAGCTTCCTGTAACCCTCTTGCTCTATCGGTATATACCACCTGATGCAATATGGGTGCTCACCAAGTAACTGCAACTACAGATCTGTGGGCAGACCCATTATCTATCTCTTCATATGGAAATTTAGAAAGAAAAAGTGTAAGGATCCCAGCAGAGGGTCCTTCAGGATGTGGGTTACAAATATTCACCAAATGAATTATCTCATAAAACACTTTGGTTAGGCTTCCTCCAAACAGAGGAAGCCAGAACATAACTGAAATACTCCTGTTTATGCTTCACACAGGATAAAGTAATGGTGGACTGACACAGTAGCCCCACTTTAAAGAACTGGGAAAAGAAGACGAAGGGCATTTTAAAGAGGTGGCCTGGAGTTACTGTAATAAGTTAATAGAAGGGTTGAGACTGGGGCTCAGGATTTTTGAGTAGGGCTTTAGGATGAAAGAGAAAGGGCTCCAGTTTTACTGCGTTGGGAGATGGGAAGTTGAAAGGGGGGATTCTGCTGTGATTCCACAGCAGAGAATAGAGAGCAGATGTTGGCGTCAAACAGACCTGAATGTGGGTTCTGCAATCTGCTTAACCAGCTGTGCAACTTGGATAAGCTTGCATTACATAAACTTCTGAGCCTCAGTTTCCTTAGGTGGAAAATGATCCTAATACTCTACTGTGTTTTTGTGAAGGTAAAAAAATAATGAGTTAGTAACTGCAGGTTCAAGTGTCTGACATGTTTAGAAAGAGACAGCCCATCATGAAAACATGCAAAGAAGTAAGGCAGCTGATCTTCTGGGGGCTCTTTGATTCCCAGCTTTTTTTTTTTCTTTTTTGAGTTACTGAATTTAAGGAGACCAGATTAGGTTCTTCTACTCAAACAATGAATCCCCTCGTTCACATCCCAAGATTTTTCTATGGGAAATGTAGTCCCTGATCCAAGATAATTTAAAATCCAGTTGGCTCATTAGTCTGTGAAAGCTTTCTGGGCACCATCTTGGAAATTTCACAGAATGGCACTTGTGGTTCCCGTGGACTCAGTCTCTCCCGTAACGTCACAGCCTCGGTGGCCCTGCCTTCCTGCACTGGTGCACACAGTCTTCCTTCTACTTTCCACGGTTCCCCTGATTTACTTACAGCTGGGAGAACCTAGTCCTCTCTCTTCTCTGATGCTCCCCTCTCCACATTGATTCGGCAGAGTCTCCAGAAAGTCTCAAAATGAAAGCATCTCTAGAGTTAAGCATGAATACCACCCTATCCTAGTCTGAAAGAGGTTGGAAGCCTTATTGTCAAGAGAGCAGCGTTGCAGTCTAGAGAGCATTCTCGATGGTGGCATTAGAGCCTGAGTTTCCATCTCTGGATACAACACTCTTTTCTGGATAACTCTTCACCTCCCCAAAAGGCTTGGCTGGGCACCTTCTCTGACTCTGCTTTTGAAAGATGGCTACTTGGTCTGAATGGTCGTTTAAGTTCCCTATCGTTTCCATGATTTGAAATTCCAGAATGACCACGTTGTCCATTTCCAGACTTTTGGGCAGATGGTACATGAGCTCAGGCTGGAACTCTGAGTAGCACTAGACATGGGACACCATGGATAGTAAGCTCCAGGAAGACGGAGACTGTCTCATGACTTACTCTTCAATGTCTGGAGAGGTGTCTGATTCATAAAAGAAGCTCAATAAAACTCTTGTTGAATAAATGCACAAGTAATCATTCCCGCAAAATACCACTAAGAGTGATTTTTGTGTCCTTATCTATACTTGATTCTTCAAGGTGTCAGCAAGGAAGTTGTAGCTTAAATACCTTTCCCAGACCCAAATAGGTATGTAATGTGTGACTCCGTTTATATGAAGTTAAAAAGCAGGAAAAACTAATCCATGGTGATAGAGGTTAAAGTTGAGGCTACTTGGGACTTCCCTGGTGGTCCAGTGGTTAAGACTTTGCCTTCCAACTCAGGGGGTGCAGGTTTGATCCCTGGTTGGAGAGCTAAGATCCCACATGACTAGTGGTCAAAAAAACCTAAACATAGATTAGAGCAACAGTGTAACAAATTCAATAAAGACTTTTAAAATGGTCCTCTTAAAAAAAAATTGAGGTTACTTTGGGGGATGTATTCACAGGGATGGGTAATGTGGGAGATTTCTGGGATGCTGGGAAAGTTCTCTATCTTGATCAGAATGGTGGATACATCACCAGGCTACACACTTAGGATCTGTGGATGTTGCTATAAATTATAACTTTGTTAATGTTAGCTACTCAGTCATG